ATCAAGTAAATTTGTTCCATTCTTGCCGTTAATGATTTGCGTCTGAGTACGATAAATCCGCTCCTTTTTTTCTGAGATTTTACAACGAATTATTTGCGTTTGGTTGGAATAGAATCGACTCAGTTCGTACGCCAAATATAGTAGTTCTGTTGACAATTGACAATCCGCCGGTGACAATGCGTTCGCTTCAGCGCACAGTAACGCATTGCGTTTTCAACGCATGCATGATGAGCTCCAGTTCATTTCTCACATGAATGTGCGTTGTACAACGTTTTTCTTCAATTCAAATATTATTTTTAAATCAATTGATTTAATGAGTTCGGTAATTTGGTTCGGGAAAATTGAATACTTAATGAAAAAGAAATGTATAAAATTACATTTCAATAAAAACAATTATGATGCATCGAGATTCAAATTCAATTCTAGTACAAAACAGTTGAGTCAAGAAATGTTTTGCATGGAACCAACTTCATGCTCGTCGGGCTTTCACGTGTTGAATGACACAATATTTTTTTCCTTATAAACGACCACATCATTTTTTCTTCAAAAAAAAAAGAAATGGATAATAGAGATGAAAATAGATTTCCCGTGCGTGGTGAAGATGATCAACCGCCACCAGAACGACAGGAAATACCGCCACAACAGCTGAATGAACTTGGTGAGTATTTGAATTTATAAAAGGGGAAATTAGACAATTTTCACGCATGCGCTTTTTTCACATATGGCAAAACACATGTCATTGCATACGTGCTTACGTTAGACATATGTGTGTTTTCATGTGTGCAATGAACGCATGCGTGAATTCCATTCCATTTCTCCTTTTCATGACAGAAACGTCAAAATCGCGTCATTTGTGTTGAAGAATTGAGTGTAAAATGACGATCATCACCAAATCTCCTGGCAAAAGTCTGTTTTGCTGTTTTTCTACGTGTGTTTTGTTGTTGTTGATTTATTTTGTTTTTTTTTTTTCAGTTGCGCCACAGCGACCCAACAATCCGGACCAAGAACGTGCATTGCATATGAACCAGCTAGAACATGCATTCCGTGCCTTTCGAGCATTAATGGACGGCGGACATGGCCTGGATCTGAACGCAGTACGACAGGCTGCTGTGGTTGCTTTGCGTAATGCTCGACCAGGACTCCCTGACGGGCGAATCCTGGCGCAGGTGGACAACGTTCTGGAGTCTATCGATCCGGCTCCCCCACTTCCTGTACCGCATGGAATTGGAAATGTGGAAAACATCAACCACGTCAACAACAATGCCAATGAAAACATTAACAATGAACAAAATTAAGTTCACTTATTGGACTCCATTCATTTCAATAAAAAAATATTTTTTTTCCTCGTAAAAAACGGTTTATTTCAAATAATTTAATATCTCCAATCGGAATCAATTTCGATTTCTGTCCCAAAATGAAATCAATTTTTGTCTTTCTTACTTCTTGTTCGGCGAGTGTTGCTTCAATTTTCTCAGCGGCACGCTTCGTGATACGCTGTTTGAATTGTTCCACCTCGAGATCAAAGTGTTTCTTATACTCGATATCTGCTAATTGGATACGACCAAAGAATGAACCAATGCATGCTCGGGGATCGACGTCGAGTTGTTTGTTGTACACTTAGAGACAGGGTAAGTAGACACGATTATCGGTTACAACATCAATGAATTGTTCAACATCACAATCATCACGGAAGAGAACTTCAGCGTTGTGAATTTTGAATGCTTGCAAAACCGATTGAACCATTTTTTCATTGCATTTCGTTAGGTTAAGTGTTGAGTTGAAGCTCAGACCGCCGCCCTTCTTTTGCTTGAAATAAATATTTGGTTTCTCTTTATTCAAGCGTATTCCGACCGATTCCAATTCTTTCTCCAACAAATCACGATGTACATTGGGCTTTGTTGCGTCCAACATCATGATGACAACATCAGCGGTACGCGCAACAGCGATTACCTGACGACCTCGACCTTTGCCTTGAGCGGCACCTTCGATGATTCCCTACATATATCAAAACAACATCATTCAAACTGTTTCTACTTTTTAGGTCACCAATTTCAAGCTTACCGGTAAATCGAGCAATTGAATATTTGCCCCTCTGTATTCGATGACACCGGGAATACATGTCAATGTTGTGAATTCATAGTTGGCCGCTTCACTTTCGGTTTTTGTTAAAGTTGACAGCAATGTGGACTGAAATTAAACAATTGATCCATTTTCAATGTTTGCAATGGAATCGACCATTATTGATATTACCTTTCCGACACTTGGAAACCCAATAAGCGCCACACGAGCATCACCGGATTTGAGTACGTCAAAACCTT